CGCCCGCGGAAGCGATCTCGCGCGCGCGCTCGTTCGCGAGAGACCACAGCGCGAGCTTCCGCTTAAGACGGCGGCGCAGTCGGCTTGACCGACCCCCGCCCCCCGAAGGCTTCGCCACCAGCATGATCAGCAGCAGCGCCTCCTGCCCTGGCGTCGCCGAGATCACCTGCTGCAGCGTCGGGCCCGTTGCGCAGCGCACCTCGGGGGCCCGCGCCGCCGCTCCGCCCCGCGCCCCGCCCGCGCGCCCGGCGGGGCGCGCGGCTGGCCGCCAGGCCTTGGAAGGGGCGTTGCCCGCCCCCCAGGCCTCCTAGGCCACCCTCGCCACCGCGACCGCTCTGACCGTCGCCATTATCCTTCTTCTTGCGGCTGCGGAACTCGGACTCCACTCGCTCCCGGCGCTGGTGCTCCGTCCGGGAGTGCGTCGTCGCAGAAGCCACCACCCGCTCGGGGGCCACGTCCGCCGAGCCTCCAGGTGACGCGCAGCCCAGTATGGCCCCCACGCGGTCGCCACCCCTCTGCTCACATGCGCACGACGCCAGCCTCCTCACGGCGAGCTCCATCGTGTCGTCGACGGCCAGCACCTGCATGATCTCTACGTCGCTGCTGGCGCAGTCCTTGAGCCTGAAGTCGCTGGTGGTCGACAGGGCCCACAAATCCACCCACGCGGGGCTGCTCCGACTGCCCCGGCACATCTGGGCGATCCAATCCCTCACACTCGATGAGCCCTCGCCCCGAATCATCCGATTGATCTCAGGGGCGGCCCTCTGGAAATCGGCTGGCAAGCTAGACCCCCGGCGCGTCTCCTCCGACCCACTGCGCGACGCCGAGAGGTCTGGCGAAGCGCCCTGGGCCCATGGGCCGCTGCCTACGGGCAGGGCCGCCTGGTAGCTGAGGCGGTCGAAGGCTCCGATCAGCTCGGCCCCCCGCGGGCCCGTCGTCGTGGCGGCGCCCAAGTAGCCGAAACCAATCAGAACGCGCTCGATATCCCCCTGGAGCTGCCCTGAAGCCTCGATGGCCCAGACGCTCTGCCAGAACCTGCGGCTCCACTGGCAGTCGGACGCCTTGGCTCCGCTGAAGGCCCGTCAGCAGCTCCTTGATCTGCCGCGCCTGCGGGGCATTCTGAGCTCCCCGGCGGTGCTCCGGCACGGCGCCCGTGCCCACGCCTGGGGCCGCCGCCACCGCTGGGGCGGGGCCTGGGGGCGGGGCCACGCGGGGGGCGGCGCACCCGCGGGCGGCACGACTCCTGCCGCCGCACCTGTGGCCCCCAGCCCTCCTGGCCCCGTCAGCAGGCCCGTCACGCCTGGCACGAAGGGGATCCCTGGCGGCAGTGCACCGCCATCAGCTCCACCGTCGTCCGTCGTCATGTCGTAGCTCGGGTCGGGGCTTGCGCCTGGCGCTCCTGAGCCTCCGCTGAGGTGCAAGGCCTGCATATGCCCAATCATCTGCCCCAGCGGTTCGGCCTCAGCCGCCTGGTCGCAGTACAGACGCCAGCCCTGGCGTACAGCGAACCAGGCGGCCGTCGGCCCCGCAGCCATGCACAGCGCCAGCCCGACCAGCCTGCTGCGGCCCGTGGTCGCCTGCTGCGCCACGAGGCTGCCCACGCCCGCGGCGAATGCCAGCGCCGTCCAGACGGCGGCCCACGCCCTGCTCCCTCGCGGCTCGGCTGCGGCCGGCGGAGCTGGCGGGGCAAGGCCGCCCTCGGGCGCCATCCCAGGCAGGCAGCGGGCGCCTGGGTCTGAAGCGCCCGCAAGAGACAGGAGGGGGCCAGCGGATGGAGCCCCTCTCCCCCTTTGCTCAGTGGATCAGTGTGCCTTGATCTATTGAGCAGCGGCGGCGGCGAGCAAAGGCCGGGGACATTCGACGCGCCGCACAAGACATCCCCACCCGATGATCCCATTCGCTAACCTAACTCGAATTAAACGTTCTTAGACTCACTCACCCATGTATACATGTGTGTAAATATACATGTATATACACATACATACATATATACATACATATGCACATGTATAAATATATATGCATGGCATGAGCTACTTGGTGGTGCAATCGTGGCAACATCTGTGGTGCAACGTGTTTTGTCTGGTGCGGGCTACGCTGTGTAATAGATAGATGTGTTTGTGTATATATCTATATATATATATATACATATGTTTTGCGCCATTTATGTGGCACGACCCACCTGGCAGAACTTGAAGTTGATAACTCTATTGCACGCGCAATCGTTCCACCATCCCACCCGCAACTTGAGTGCAAAACGCTTGCGGGAGCGAGTGCGGCGACTGCTTGGCAGTGGCTGGCCCATTCCTGCGGCCGCGTACGCGCGCTGGCCGGCGCAGCTGGCTGAGCACGGCCGCTGTGGCCGCGATGGCGCTTACCGATGGGAATCCCAACGCGCAGCGCGGCCAAGGCCACGCTGGTGCGCGAGCGCTTCAATGCGGGTCCGTGGCTCGGGCGGGCGCGGTATCAGGATAACGTCGACAGCAACGGCGACGATGACGACAATAGCGACGGAGGTGGCGATAATGACGACGATGGCGGCAGCAACGCCAATGACGGTTTAGGATGATGTCAGCATGCGCGCGCGGCCGGCGCGCGCGAGTGGCCCGCATGGTATCATTTGATTAGGACCGTGCCTCCCCACCAAAACCCAGCAAGCTCGCAAAGGCGTTCGAACGATTCCGACATGCGCGCGCGAGGGGCCCGCTTGGTCGCATTTTCTGAACATGTTGAAAACCGCTATGTTCGCAAGAATTCGCAAGAACGGGCGCAGATTCGTTGGACATAAACTGAAAGTATGTGCTGTTTGTATGTATTCGGGGGCCTCGACACCAATGGTTTGGGATTGAGTTTGACATGCGCGCCCGACAACGCGCGCGTATGGATTTGTCATGATGCTGCAAAAACGTATAGGAAGCAAATTTCTTTATGAACTAGCACGCCTGTGCTATTATTTGACAGGGATGAGGGGGCGCTACCGAGAGTCCTGGGGTGGTATCAAGTCAAATAAAAAAGTGAACGATGAGGCAGAACCAAATGTAACATTACGATTCCAAGGGGAAGCGACAAGCCCAGCATCGAGAGGGCGGTAGAGGCTCTTCTTTTCTTACAAAGCACGAAATACATGGTGCAATGTATGCTGTGCCATGTATGCGGTGTAAGCTACGTGGTGCAATCTATGTAGTGCAGTTGGTGTTGGGCAAGATCTGTGGTGCAATGTATGCGGTGCAATCAATGCGGTGTTTTTTTCACAGTGCAGAAGTTGAAATTGTCAACCCTGGTTACAAATCCATGCGGCGTCGACTGCGATGACTGCTCGGCGTTGGCTGCTGCATCGCTGCGGCCACGCTAGAGCGCAGGCTCGCGCGCAGAGCGGCCAACTGGTTTGGCGCCACGGAAGCGGCCGCGGTGACGCTGACCGCTGGGGACGTCCCAAGGCATCTCGCAGGCCGCGCTGACGCGCGGGCAATTCACTGCGAGTCGGTGATTCGGGCGTGCGCGCAATAATGGCGAGGCTTACAACGGCAGACACCATGGTTACAGTAGCGATGATGGTGACGATGACGACGATGACGACGGCAAAGTCAATGACGGCGCTGACTCTGATAACTCACACGACAACGATGTTGTCCACATGTCGGTGATGAAGGTTTCGGGAGGATTTCGACCTGCGTGCGCGGCCGGCGCGCGCGAGTGGCCCGCATGAAATAATTTGGCATGGATCGTGCTTCCTCCCCCAAGAAAACGCACAAAAGCGTTCGAATGATTCCGTCACGAGCGCGCGAGGAGCCCGCTTGGTCGCATGTGATGCACATGTTGGAAACCAATAGTTTTCCTAAGATTTCGAACGACTTGTGTTGTAAAAACCTGTGCTTCGTGGGTTCGGAAACTCGACCTTGAAATCCTTCCAGTACCTCAGCGTTTTGAAAAATGTCGGCATGCGCGTGCGACGACGACGCGTGTCCACGTTGTCCCACTTGTGCACAGGATTGCTGGGATCTGCGAATTTGGGACAACGCATAATCTTAATTGACAGGGATGATGGGGAGGCGATACCAGCCTGGCGAGTTCAGATTCAAAGCGAACGATGGGGCAACATCAACTGTGAATTCTACTCTGCGAGACACATCATAATTCCGTTTGAGACAAGAGGATATGCGTGGTGCAAGCCATGTGCTGCAATCGAGGTGGCGCAGCGCAAAGCAACGCAAAGCAGTGCAACGAAACGCGATCGCAATGAAACGGAGGGGGTGCAACGGGGCGGCGGCGACGGGCCGCGACGGGGCGGCCAGACCGACAGCCAGGCCCAGGCGACGGGCGGCGACGAGGCGGCGTCGGGGCGGCCGGACCGAGAACCGGGCCCAGTTCCTTGGAACACAAGCAGAGCCCGAAGCACAAGCACTGCTCTGGGGCTGGGCAGAACTCCCTGTGGCAAAACGTGGCTCGGCGAAAACGACCTCGGGCCCAAGCCTGGCGGGCGCAAGCCTGGGGAACGGCGGCCGCGGTGCCCTCTCGAGAGCCGAAACTGGACAATTCACTGATCGACGCGTCAGAGTGGGAGTTCTGTCCACCCCCGACTGTTTGGATAATGAAACCTTGCAGAGAATCCCAAGAGCTTTCCAAAGCAGCACCCCGAATGAACCTAAACTTTCCCGAACCTTCGAACTCCTTCAGCCCCTTTGAATGGCCTCTGGCGACCCCAGGCCTCACTCGGCCACGCGCCATCAGCAGCGCACACTGCCCGGATCCGGCGCCCGACACTTGGCACCATCGCGTCTCGCGCTGCTTTGCAGGACGAGATGCTCACAGCTCGAGATGCTCGCCTCCAGCCACTGACTGAGAATTGCAGTCGTGATTGCGGGCTCTCGGGTGCACCGCTCAAGCCTCGAGCAACGAGATACCTGTCTCCTACGCCATCGGCAGTGCCACAGAAGCCACCACTCTCTGGGCTCCACTGAGACAGGCAACATATCAGCCTTGCTTGACGGGCCCCTGGTCCTTCAGGAACTGGACGAACTCATTCTGCAGATTATCCTCTCACGCGAGGCAAGAGGATGATAAGCAGATGGGGGGGGGAAGAGGAGAGGAGAGGAGATGAGAGGAGAAGAGAAGAGAGAACATGAGAAGAGAGGAGAGAAGAGGGAGGAATGGTCGAGGCAGGTAAAGAGAAGAAGAGGCAAGAGGAAAGAGCGGGGGAGGAGGAAGAGGAACGGCAGGAGCAGGAGAAGCAGGAGGATCACAGAGGGGCAGGAGTGGAAGAGGAGAAAGGAGGCATCCTCATTCCACTTCATCACCACCTCGCAATAATCGGGATGTTTGCTCCTGACCTCGTTGAAGGTTAAGCCTGCAGGACCCCCGCGGAAACTGCCAGCCTCTCCTCCTCCTGCTCCTCCTCCTCCTCCTCCTCCTCCTGCTCCTTCTCCTCCTCCTCCTCCTCCTCCTCCTCCTCTTCCTCCTCCTCTTCCTCCTCCTCCTCCTCCTCCTCCTCCTCCTCCTCCTCCTCCTCCCCCTCCACCTCTGCACCTCCCCGCCCAACCCACCCAACAGGAGGACGAGTGGGCACCGAATGGGGGAAGCAAGGAATCGATGCGTCCCACCTCGCCCCCCCACCCCACCCCTTCCCCTCGCGTCAGTTATCAGATCCCCTCTTATCCCCATTCCATGTTCGCCTCCTGCCATCAGGCTGGGAGGGGAGGGGTGCGGATGGGTGGGAGGAGGGAGTCTGGAATTATGGAGTTCTGGCTACAAGACGATGTCTTATCTTACTAGAGCCTTCCAACTACGTGCTCATTACACTGGAAGACCGCGCAAACGCTTCTCATTGCTGCTTAACACCTTGGGCCACATGCCTCTGGAAATCCGACTGAGATATTATGAGCGAGTATGTGTGACCTTGTTGGTACACATCTTGCCGAGCCCACGCGACTGAACACTAGCATAGCAAACACATCGGACACAATACCACGAACGCAACTTGCCGTGGAAAGGTGAGCGGAGGGAGGTTTAAAGAAGATAGAGTCAGCATGACTCACTGGGGTAAAACACGGAGACGTGCGCCATTTAGTGAGACAGGCCTTGGAAGCTGATCCACCACACCTAGTGCAGCTCTGCCCATTATCGTCCAGACAGTGGGAGGAGGAGAAGAAGGCGAGAGCAGCAGCAGAGGGAGGACAGGCGACTGACGACAACGCTCCTTTTTCCTCAGGCTCCCGAGCATCGGCGGACATCGCATCGAGCGTCGCCCGCACAATCCTCATACGGACAAAGAAAGCTTTGCGTTCTTGGATCAACACCGCCTGTCTCCTGGCGGTCGGAAGTCGTGCGGCCAACGCAGCGCACCAGGCGACTTCGTCCACGACATGATTAACAGTGACCGACCACCGAGGATACTTGCCTCGGCAGATGGCCTGTTCATCCTGGTGGGAATGAGCAAAAAATGATGAGAGAGGGATCGCAGATCTGCAACAGTTGGCCAAGCATCGCCCAGAAATCTGAGGGGCGCCGCGACGATTACGAAACCACCACACCATTACCAGTACCATCACCACCGCCGCCACAACCCGACACCAACAACACCACCACCACGAACCACCACACCACCACCACCACCACAAACCACAACTACCACCACCTCAACCCACCACCCACCACCCACCACCACCACCGGCACCGCTACCAGCAGCACAACCACAACCACAAACCACCACGCCACCACCACCACCGCCACCACCAATACTACCACCATCACCAACACCAACTCAACCCATCACCACCAACACCAAACCAGCACACAACCACCACCATAACAACTCACCACCACCACTACCACCACCACATCAACCCACCACCACCACCACAATCTACCACACCATCACGCCAACACCGCCACAACCACCACCATCACCACCAAAACCCACCACACCACCACAACCACCACCACCACCACAAACCACCACACCACCACCAACACCACCACCACCGCCACACACCACCACCACAACCAACACCACCTCCACAAACCACCGCCACCACAACCGCCACCCAACGCCACAAACCACCACACCACAACCACCACCACCACCGCCACCACCCCACCACAACATACCACCACCACCACCACCACCACCACCATCACAAACCACCACCACACCACCACCACTAAACCACCACCACCACCACAAACCACCAGCACAACCACTACCACCACAACAAACCACCACACTACCACCACCACGACCACAACCATCGCCACCACAACCTCAACCCACCACCACCACCACAAAACACCACACCACCACCACCACCACCACCACGACCACCACCACCAGCAGCACCCGGCCGCAGATGGCCCGCCGCTGAAGAGCAATGGCCTGTCCTCGTGCACTTGGCCAGGAAGCCCGGGGCCAGCTCAGAGCCAGTGCCTACAACCTGCCAAGCATCATCTGACGGCGGTGATGGGACACTGGTCTACTTACGGGGGAGGAGGCCCCTAAGCCAGAAGGCTGGCTCCATGTCCCCCTGAACCTCGGCCTCCACCACCATGTCCGCTGTATGGTCATAAGCGGCGCTGCCGTTGCTCTCACAACAGCGCCAAATTCGATGCTTCTCCGCCTCCAGCTCGACATGACAACGAGGGCACTTACAAGAGCCGTGACACCATGGGATATCATTATTCTTGCGCCCTCGAGGCCACGCACCCCAGGCAACACACGTGAGGAGAGCCTCAGACAACCTGTGGCCGATGATGGGGACCTCCCTTAGCTGCTGCAAGAGGAGGCGGTAGGAGTCGCAATCGGTTCCATGCTCCAAACCTCCACCCAGTCGATGCTTGCTGGCAACTGCGCACTGCCTGGTAGCGAGGACTTCTTCGAAGTCACGTAAGAAGCCATGGTGCGAATCCAGCGCCGTGATACCTGTGTACATGTGGTCGTCGAACCTCCTGCAGCTACATGACCCGCTTGAACTGTCCACGCCGTGGCCTCAGGCATTGACCACCCAGACTCCACCAGGTGCAGGATGACGACAGAGATGGGCCTTCTGGCCTAGATGGAACGATGAGCAAGCGGGACTGTCTCCAACTGATTGGCAATGGCGGTCCATGTACGACGTACACCAGCCTGATGCTCAGGGTGATCTCGCCACGTGGAAAGCCAGAGGTCCAGGCACTGGGACGGCAGCTTGATGCCGCGGTCCTTGGCCTGGAGCTCGCAGCGCCAACAGCGTGGTCAGGAATATGCCACGAGTCGGGGCAGCACACGCGAGCCCCAGACGGCGCCTCACGAGGACCAGGCGCTGGCTTAAGGTCCCATGGACTTGGAACCCGTAGATCCCAGCGGCCTGAGCCCCCTCAGTCTCCAGGCGTGCAGTCACACGGTATCGGCGAGCAGCTCGAGCAAACCGACAAACGTTGGCACTCACGGCGTCATGTTTCGCATCCCGGTTGCGGCGTGTGGTCCGAGCCAGACGCCGAGCGCAAGACACATCAACACAAAGGAAAGCAACCTGTGCCTGAGGAGCAACCTTGAAACCTGCCCTTCCAACAGCCTTGCATACCCACCTCGCATCAGCAAGATGAGTACGGACAACAATCGATTCAGGTGATACATTCAATGTGCTGCACAAGCATCAACAATGCAGCCGCGAAGTTGGACTCGTACAGCTGAGCGTGACCCTTGCACTTGTGGGGAGGGAATCAGGAGCGGGGAGGGCCATGGGAGGAGGGGAAGTGGGGAGGGGGGGAGGAGGTTGGACCAGTGCAAACCCAAGAGGCATCAACGATGTTGCGACAAAACCTCCGTTCAAGGACCCTCCTTGTAGGTACACATCTACTACGGGAAGTGGCACATTAGAAGACAACCGCATGAGAATCCTCAATCGTGCCACAACACCACCCCTGAGACTTCAACGCCGCGGGTCAACGTGACTGTTGCGCCCTGACAATCCGAAATCGTCACAACGCACCATTCCAAGGACTTCAACTCCGTGGATCAACGTTGCACTTGCCTCCCCACAATCCTAGATCACACCAGAGCACCATCCCTGGGACTTCAACATCACAAATCAGCGCAACTGTTGCGTCCTGACAATCCCAAACCGTGCCAAACACACCATTCCTGCGACTTCAACCTACGAATCCGTGCAATGCTCGCGAACGTTTAAAACGAACGAGCGCGGCGCTATCGCAAGAACCACAGTTTGAAAAAGAACCGCCCCTGTCCGCGAATACGCGCGGTGCTTAGGCTACAACCGAATCCCACCAGCCCTCTGGGCGTAGGTGGTCTAGAACAGATCCTCTTCCACCCCTCCCTCTTCCCCCTTGGGGAGGGGTTTACCCCTCCCCCTACCCCCTCCCCTGGACCTGGACGGGGGGGGCCGCTGGTAGTTAGAGCGTCCCAGATGGCCCAAGACGGCTCCAAGAGCGCCTCAGAGAACCCAAGATGAGCTCCAAGATGGCTCAAGATAGCGCAAGATCGCTCGAGATGGCTCCTAAGATGGTTCCAAGAAGCCCAAAGACGGCCCCAAGATAACTCCAAGTGGCCAAACAGCTCCCCAAGGAGGCCCCGAAGAGGCCAAAATCGTCCCAAAACCTAAGGAAAATCAATGATTTTTGCTTTCTCGCCTTTTCGCTTCCGATGGCCATCCGAGGCCTGGAGATGGTTCCAAGATGGCCCAAGAGGGCCCCAAGAGAGCCCCAAAAGAGCCCCAAGACGGCCCCAAGAGCGCCCAAGAGCACTCCAAGAGCGTTCCAAGAGGGGTCCAAGAGGCGATTTTAGGGGCTTCCGAGGGGGGACGCTAATTAAACCCCCCCTCTTGTTTGATCGATCTCCTCCAAGATGGCCCCAAGAAGCGCCCAGGAAGCCCCAAGAGGTCCCAAGATGGCCCCAAAATGGCCCCAAGAGGCCCCCAAGAGGCCCCCCGGAGGCCCCCAAGAGACCCCCAAGAGGCCCCAAGAGCCCCCCCAGATGCACCCAAGATGCTCCAAGAGGCCTCGGCGAGAATGCCTAATCATTGATTCTACACAGGTTTTAGCCACATGGAGGCCTCTTGGGGGGGGGCACGGATTAAGATGACTCCAAGAGCGTCTGGGAGAGCCCAAAATGACCTCCAAGATGGCTCAAGATATCCCAAGATGTCTCATAATGGCTTCCTCTGTGTGCTGCCCACTTCTCTGATCGAGGCAATTCCTCTGGGCATCGTTTCTGGATGGGCTGGTGGGGATTCGCGAAGCGACAACAATTTTCAAAACACATTGTGAAAAGGAACCGCCTTCCATCCGTGAAATTGCTGCAAACGTTTGCGGCGCGAAGGCGAGAACCACAGTTTGAAAACGGCCTGCCCTCCATCCCTGAAACTGTTCCAAACTTCGAACTTCCAAATGGTGAGGTAACCTCAAGGGGAAACGCCAGGCCCGCCCTACGCACACGACTGGGGGCGCGACAGGGAGGAGTTACTTATAACGAAAAAGAATGGAGGGAGGGAAGGAGGGAGGACGGGACGGAGAAGGCTCCCCCTCGCGGGCCCACTCCCGCCAGGCTGGCGAATGCCATGGGAGCCCCCCTGCCAAGGGAACCGCAGTAACACCCGTCGTCGAAGGTCCGTTGGCCGCTCAGCCACTGGGCGAACTTCTCTTCGGCCGGCGTTCGCGCCGCCTGAGGAGAAGCAGGTGGACGATCACGAGGGAGGAGGAAAGAGAGGGATGATGACAAGCTAGGTGCGCAAGCGTCACATCTGACGTCCTACCCCTCCCTCCCATCCCTTACCGTTGCGTAGATCTCCTCTCTATTCGCATACTCGGATGTCGAACTGGGCACTGACCCCGAGTGAGTACGCGATGCATGGTATAGCACAGCAGAAGAGCACGGCCACAGCCGAAGTCGTCGGGTCGATAACGCAATCCATGTCGTCAACAAGGTGAAAGGGCAACTTGAAATGACAAGGATGGGAAATACAAATAACGGGGATGGAAAGCGGGAAGCGCAAACCGAGATGATCGCTGCAGCGGGAACACGATGCCGAAGGAACGAAAACGCGGAAATGGGACCAGAGCTGCACAATACGGAGGAAATGGAAGCGCGAAGCCGAAACCAACGCTGCAGCAGGAGCACGTTTTGGCAGAACTGAAACGATGAAACGAGGTCAGCACTGCAGCCAGCACGTGATCTGGAAGGACGGAGAGAGGGAAAATGGAGCCAACGCTGTAGAGGGAGCGCCGTTCTGAAAGAACTGAAAACGCTCGATGGGGGGGGGGGACAAAAACACACACACACACGCACACACACATATATCATTCTCGATTCGGCGGCATCATGTTTTTGCTATATGAATATACATGCAAATATATATCTATATATATATATACATATGCAAGACTGCGTTGGCGCTTCGCGCCATGCACCTTGTTCCTTGTAGTTCCGAATGCAGACAGCATGCGTGCGCGTGAACACGGGGCGGGCCACCGCCAAATCGGAACTGGTGAAGAGTTCCTGAGCAGGAGCGACCGGACAACACCAGCTGAGGCCATCTCAGGGCGTTTCGGGGCCCAGAGGCGCGAACATGTCTACGGGGAGTGGTTGGGCTAGCATGAAGCAGGGCCTCCCCCTCCTCTTTCTCCTCCTCCCCCTTTTCCTTATCTTCTTTCTCCTCCTCCTCCTCATCCTCATCCTGTTTCTCCTCTCTCCCCCTGTTTCTTTCATTCCTCCTCCTTCTCCTTCTCCTCCTCCTCCTCCTTCACCTCCTTCTCCTCTACCTCCTCCCTCTCCTCCTCCTCCTCCTCCTCCTCCTCCTCCTCCTCCTCCTCCTCCTCCTCCTCCTCCTCCTCCTTCTCCTCCTCCTCCTCGTCCTCCTTCTCCTCCTCCTTCTCCTCCTCCTACAGACACGCTATTTTCAACGTTCGCGCTGCTGGGCTGCCGGCTTCGAGCCCCAAACAGGCCCAAGGCTGGTCCAAGAAGGCCCAAAAGATTGAAATGTAATGAAAATCCAATTGGAGAATCAACGTTTTTGGTCTTCTCGCCTTTTCGCTTCCGATCGGCTCTTGAGGAGTCAAGATAGCCCCAGGACGGCTCCAAATGAGTCTCCAGACGAGCCCCAAAGAGGCCCAAGACTGGCCGAAGAATGCCCAAAGAATTGAAAATTCGCCGGCCCAACGGGCCAGAGGAGTGCTAAGATCTCCAGTAACTGGTTAACAGTATTCCTAGTTCGCGCGCGCGGAGCGGCCCCTGGGGGCCCCCGGACGAAAAATACCCCAGCCAGGTCCCGGTCAGGTTCCAGTCAGGTCCCCAGAGCGCTCCAAGGGAGGGCCATTTTTCGACACCCCTCACGAGGATCGTGGCCTCCGAGGGGGGAGCCGCAATCGACTGCCCCCCCTCCCGCCCCAAGAGGCCCCCAAGAGCCCCCCAAGAGGCCCTGGGGGCCCCCAAGACGCCGCCAAGGAGCCCCAAGAGACTCCCAAGAGGTCCCCAAGAGGCCCTAAAGAGGGCTCCAGGGCCGGCGGAATGAGCGAAGCGATTAATCAATGAAAACCCATTGGGAAATCAATGTTTTTGGTCTTCTCGCCTTTTCGCTTCCGATCGGCTCTTGAGGCGTCGAGATAGCCCCAATACGGCTCCAAATGAGTCCCCAGAGGAGCCCCAAAGAGGCCTAAGGCTGGCCCAAGAGGGCACTGATGGTCGAACAAAAATTATGCTAACAGAGTTCCCCACATAAAGATATTAACGGTTTCGTGGGACCCATGGGGTACGACATCATCAACACGAAGGAGAAGTTCATCGAACGAGTAAGTACGCACGAAAGGGCAGACGAAAGAAAGGAGGAGGGAGGACAGGTGCTCAGGAAACGAAACCTTGTAAATAGTATGGGTTTCCGATACCCTACTCGCTCAGGCGGGGCCTCCCTGGAGAGGTGGGAAGGGCACGAAACCATGTAAATATTATGGGTTTCCGATACCCTCCTCGCTCAGGCGGGGCCTCCCTGGAGGGGTGGGAGGGGCACGAAACCATGTAAATAGTATGGGTTTCCGACACCCTCCTCGCTCAGGCGGCGCCTCTCTGGAGGGGTGGGAGGAGCACGAAACCATGTAAATAGTATGGGTTTCCGATACCCTCCTCGCTCAGGCGGGGCCTCCCTGGAGGGGTGGGAGGGGCACGAAACCATGTAAATAGTATGGTTTCCGATACCCTCCTCGCTCAGGCGGGGCCTCCCTGGAGGGGTGGGAGGGGCACGAAACCATGTAAATAGTATGGTTTCCGATACCCTCCTCGCTCAGGCGGGGCCTCCCTGGAGGGGTGGGAGGGGCACGAAACCATGTAAATAGTATGGGTTTCCGATACCCTCCTCGCTCAGGCGGGGCCTCCCTGGAGAGGTGGGAAGGGCACGAAACCATGTAAATAGTATGGTTTTCCGATACCCTCCTCGCTCAGGCGGGGCCTCCCTGGAGAGGTGGGAAGGGCACGAAACCATGTAAATAGTATGGGTTTCCGATACCCTCCTCGCTCAGGCGGCGCCTCCCTGGAGGGGTGGGTATTGATATGGGAGGCGGGAGCCGGGAGGGAGAAGGAGAGGATGTTCTGGGAAAACAAGAACCCCATTCAGGATGTGGGGAAAAAACAAGGTGCAGGACAGGCCCGAGGATTCGAAATTCGTTTGGGGGGGTCAGGGGGGGTGCGCCCTTTCCGGGGTCCCTGGCCCAGCCCTATAAACATACATGATTAGGAATATATATATATATATATATATATATACACACACATATACATACATATATACATACATACATATATACATACATACATACATACATACATACATACATACATACATACATACATACATACATACATACATACATACATACATGCATGCATGCATGCATGCATGCATACATGCATACATACATACATACATAAATACGTGCACACAAACATACATCCATACATAAATACCTACACGCATACATACATGCATGCATGCATGCATGTATGCATGCATACATACATACATGCATGCATGCATGCATACATGCATGCATGCTGGCATGCATGCATATATACATGCAGACATATACATGTTTACATACATGCGTACATACATATATATATATATACATGCATACATGTATACATACATACATACATACATGCATACATACATACATACGTACATACATGCATGCATGCATACATACATGCATGCATGCATGCATGCATACATACATACATACATACATGTAGGCCAGGACTCCCCACCAGCGTCTTCAGGGGAGAGAGGAGGGTCGTACTCATAGATTGTGCAGCTGTGGAGCAGGAGGAGGAACGAGCGAGGGAGGGAGGGACAGGCGGAGGCCCATAGGAGGGGTGAGCAAGGAAGGAGGAGGGAGGCAGGAGGGAGGAGGAAATTCCGAGGGAAGGAGGGAGGGCAGGAGGAGGACGGACAGGAGGAGGAGGACCAGGAGGAGGAGGAGGAGGAGGGAGGCAGGAGACGGGAAGAGGAGGGGTCGGTGGTGATGATGATGATGATGATGATGATGATGATGATGATGATGATGATGATGATGATGATGATGATGATGATGATGATGATGATGATGATGCTGGCGATGATGATGCGACGCGGGGCACTGAATGAAGCGTGATACCTGCGCGGCTGCTGGCTTCGGGCGACTGCGGCGGCGGACAAAGAAAGGGAAATCGAGGAGAGAGAGACGGGGGAGACCCAGCAAAGGCGCAGGGGAGGCGCCGGGCCCCCCAGCCGGACCACCAGTGATGGGCCTGGTTTCCACCACCACAGCCATAAGTTGGAGGGGGAGGGGGTCCTCCTTCTCATCCTCCTCCTCCTCCTCCGCCTCGTCCTCCTCCTCCTCGTCCTCCACCTTCTGCCCCCTCTCCATCTTATGGTGGGTGTTGGTGTAGAACAGGCCCATCAACCTGCCCGCTCTGGGCACGCCGCTCGACGGACCAGGCCCACGCGAAGCTTCTGGACTCGGCGGCGAGCAAGAGGGGGAGAGGACAAGGAGAAGGCCTCCTCAGAGGGCGGTGGGGCTTCTCAGAAGCCCCCGCGCCTTCCGAGAAGTCTTTGTCTGTCTTGGGGGAAAGCTCCGAAAACTCTCTCGGAAGGCCCCGGGGGGGCTTCTGAACCTTCTGAGAAGGCCTCGTCCTTCTCACTTCCCCCCTCGCTTGCCGCCGATGGGCACAACACCTAGCAGGCGGGAGGCTGAGCACACGGTCATTGCAACGGCCTTGCTGACGTGCTGCAGCGGACTTCTGCGTGGATTCCTGCCCGCAATGGCGCCTGAAAAACGAAGTTATTTTCGCGTGGATGTTTGTTGTCTTCATTCCTGGCCAAAAAAAATCGCACGAAATTCACCTCGAAATCCGGAACGAAATTATCCAGGACACTCCGGGAACATCCTATCGTTTTCCGAACGAACTCAGCTCTGCGATGTTGACGCGATGACACACAGCGAAGGAAAGAGAGGGGAAGGCAAAAAGCGCCAGGCCAACGCCTGCAACGAACAGGTAACGCGCGGCCACGGAAGTCTGGAAGAGCGAAGGCCTTGAGCGAAACAGCGCGCACGCGAAGAAAGGCCAACGATGTGCAGGCGAGGCGGCGAGCGACGAAAGTATAGGGGGCCACATGCGAACCCTACCCCTACCCC